TGTCTTCCACTGGGGGGGGGGGCGGGGGGGCGGGCGGCACACGATAAAAAAAAATGGGCACACCGTGTTCTGCTGAAGATTGACGCAGGGGGGGGGGGTGACTGTCTCGCCTGCTTGTTGCCGTCAACACGTGGCCGCTCTCTGAACGACAACGGCGGCCCAACGATCGTTGACGCAGAGGAGGTGGGAGGGCGCAAGGTAGAAGCTTAAGCTTTCATCCAAACAGCGGAACCCCCTGAGCCCGCGACCGACGCGGCGAGTTGCACCTCATTTGTTTCTCCTGCAATTTTAGCGAACACGCACACATCGAGGCACCCCCCACACACATACGCCGCCTCGAACACATCGAACACACGGCTAACTCTGGCTATTAGTTTTACAGTTTGGTTTCCGGCCGCTATGAATGGGACGGTGGGAAAAACCTGCGAGCAATCGCCTTTGTGCGGGGTGTCGAAGAAGAAGAAAAACCTGCGAGCAACTACTCCGTTCGGGGACGCGTCTCACCTCCGGGTCGGGGTGCGGCTTCCTCGAGTACGCCTCCGCTACGTCGACGCGCACTTGATCCCTCCGCAGCGGGGTCTCCAGCGCCGGCTCCAGCAGGTACTCCGCGCCCCCGCCCCAGGCCATATCGCCATCCCCTGCAGCCGGCGGCCTTGCCATTGGCGTCACGGGCTCGCCAACGGCGGCAGCATCGGCAACGACAAGGCCACTAGCGGGGTGCAAGACACACTTGGCCCTCTTGGCGCCTCTGTGCTGTTCGTCGTCTTCTTCTTCCTCGGCTTGCGGAACGTCGCCGCGGCTGCTATCTCCGCCGCTGCTGCTGCCGCCGCCGCTTCCGCCTCCGAAGGAGCCGTCCTCGTGCGCGCGCCGCCGCCGCCGCCCCAGCGGAGACCCAGAGTCGTCGCCGCTCGTCGTAGCGGCGGGAGACGTTCGCCCACCTACAACTTCCCCTCCGTCTTCCCCCTTCGGCGGTGCCGGTGCGGCTACAGGACCTACCTCGGGGCATCCCCGCTCTGAAGAAGAAGAACCGCCGCTGCTACTGCTGCCGCTGCTGCTGCCGCTGTTCCCCATTGCGCTCTCTGCCAATGCCACCGCCGCCGTCGCCGGTGACGGCGTAGCCGTAGGCTTCGTCGCGATCGACACCCCCGCGGCGCTAGCGAGCGCCGGGAGGGTTGCCTCCGCCCGTCCGAGGACGGTCTTGGCGTCCAGCGCGGGAGAGGACTTGAGGCTTACCGACACGTTGAAGTCGAAGACAGGGATGCCTCGCCGCTTCGCCTCTCGTATCGCCAACGCTGTTGAACGTCACGGCGCGGACAAACGGGGCGAGGGGGGGTGACGAAGGGCCGAAGGGGGGCCGAGCCGGGGGAACGAAAATATGTACCAAAAAAAACAATAATTGGGGGGATGAAAAGACGCTCCTACGTATGTGTATCACACGTGAATGGGGGTAGGGCGGCGCAACTCTTCTCTTCTACGTAGTTGGGGTGACAATGTGGCTGAGGTGGTGCGGCAGGCAATACGCCTGTTTGCTACCCGAACGCAAGGTAGGCATGCCGGTGCAAGCGGAACGCGCTTAGTCGGGGGGACACTCAACAGGTAAGCGTGACGGCGAAAGAGGTGCCGACGAACACGACGGCATCGGCCTCCTTGAACCAGTCCTCGGCCTTCTCGAAGTCGTAGAAGCTGTGGCTGTCATAGTCCTCGTCGAAGAGCAGGGACATCGGAGAGGACGCCTCGCCGCAGCCGGGGCACCTGGCGCGTTGGTTCGTGTTGGTGCCGGGAGTGGAGCGGTGCGGTGCGGAGCAGCGCGGAGGCATTTGATAGACCGCGGGTGGCAAAAGAGGAGCTCGTGGTGAAATCCTCGATATCCAGGTGTCGAAAGTAGGCAAAGTAGGAGTTATAGGGGGGGGGGATTAGGCAGCTGTCCTGTAAACTGTCGTGAATGTAACGTGAAATTTAGCGTTGCATATGGGGAGACATATCGGGCTATTTGCATTGTTATGAAGCGTGGCGTATATACAAGTGCGTCAATTTACGCGGGCGATGCGTTGCTTCGGCGGTGAAGAAAACTTGATTTCGCAAATAGATCAGTGTCGCATGTACCACTCACTGCTGTAAAGACTTCAACACATCCTTTTCGACTGTGGTATTTTCTCGAACGGGTAGACTTTCTGTGAGGTTTTCTGTATACTTTCTAAAAAACCACGACGCCGGGTATGTTAGCAGCGTCGAGTGCTAGGCTAGATGCGTCTATCAGACACAAAGCATGCATCAATAAGTTGTGCCCATAGGTGCATGTAAATCGAATCGAATTGGAGGCGTACTCTGGTGTAGAGCAAAATATCGATTAACCTATGATACACTCCGTGTCATGCGCATGGAAGGACACCAAAACGGCAAGGCGCATTTAGAGCGATGGACCAGACACTTGTAGTACGCCACAAACGACGAGTATTGGTAGAGAGAGACAAACAGACAAGAGAGCCAGAGAGATAGCCAGGGAGAGGGAGAGACGCACACGCACATACCTCGGCATTTCAGTGAGAGAGCGCCCGAGCCCTCTTGCCGCCGCTGTGTGCGCGTCGTCGTCGTCCAGAGTGAGAGTAGCTCTCACGCTCTCGGTAAAGTCTTCGGGCCTGATCTCCTTGTCGAAGGAGTAAGGGCAGCAGTCATCATCATTGTCGTCGTCGCCGCCATCTTGTTCCTCCCGATCGTTGTCGGCGCCCTCTTGGCCTTGCCCCTCCTTGTCCTGCGGAATGAGGAATGAAAGTGTTACCATAGCGGATGTTGAACATTGGAGTAGCCGGTGTCATGGGATGCGCATGTTAATTTTGAAGAGATAGATAGAGAGAGAGGGGGCGGGGGGGGGGGGGGGGGAAAGGAAAAGGGG